TGTGCTTAGGGACATGTGGAAGAGATTATTTATTCCAAAGAGCCATCCAGCAGTGATGATGTCACCAGCAAAACACGGTTATCAGCTCAGTTGGTTTGCTACCAAATCACTGCCTTGAGTTTCCTGTATGTGGTGGCATCTGCTGATATACAGGGTGCCTGTATATAACTGGCATATAGATTACTTATTTTGTTTTAAATACTTATAGTTATCTTTTGTACTCTTATTTTTGGCCTTCTCAAAACCCCTGGTCACAAACTTTTGCAATAGAGAAAGATCTATTGTAAACAAGTTCCATCCCAATCTAAAGTGAAATGCAGCTCAGTCATGGCATGGTGAACTCCTGGGCAGCTCTTTGACTGCTTCCTTTGCATAGACAACAACAGATGACAGATTTGTGAATAAAGTGATCTAAAATGAGGATACTTTTCTATAGACTCCTATGCAGATATAGTTGAGTTGGAAGAAATTCTGCCACAGGTAGCTCATATTATTTTCTGCTTCTAAAATTCCTGGCTTGTCCCTGAGACTAGCAGTATTCCAGTCTTGCCCTTGGTTCTAGGCAACATATACTGGTAAAAACTACCCAGGGTAATGAGTAGACACAGTCCCTTCACTGGGGTTTTTCAACCAGTTATAACTTGGCTGCTCCAAAATCCAAGCAGTGGTGTGTAGGCTTACTTTATGGAACACAGCACAGAGTCATAGAAAACAGGCCAGAAAGGAAGTCTAAAAGACCTCCTAAGTCATCTCTTTCCCTGGGACAGCTATACTTGCAGTCTTCCTCAGTGAGGAACGAAGGATTGAGATGGGATGCTTTTTACAGGCTGAACTACAGGTTTCCTATACAATCTTTAGGAAATTATGCAGCACAGCACAAGCAAAGTCATATAACTCCTCTGATTTTCATATGGGTATTGAGGAGCTTAAATACTGCTGATAAAATGGCGTAGGGCCATGCACTGCTGGATTGAAATGCATATAAAGGTGTCCAAAGTGGACTTTTTTTTCATGGTTTTGACTCTCTTAGCATTTGATTCAGTGGGATTTAAATACTCAAGGGAAGATTCTGAGTAGTGAATTAGGCTCTTTATAGCATTGAGCCACTGGTAAGTGGATTGTGACATTCTGAAATCTGATGCTTTACTACATGTAAGTGTTAGTGTGCAATATTGCTTGTTGCAGATAGCTCAGAACCAGGCCACTGTGAATATCCCATCTGCAAATTCACCCCAAGTGAGCCAGTTGCAATACTCAGGTGACAGAAATACTGCACTGGTAACTGAACAGCACATTCCAAGTATGCCATAAACAACTGCTCATTCAGTGTGTGCTTTCTGCAGATATTCAGATATTAAATTCTCCCTTATCCAGGTACACTGCTATATACTCTAAACATTTGCTGGCCCACAGAGTATCCTGCTATGATTAAGCCCATAACTCTTTCAAGATTCTAGGATATGCTTATAAAAATATTACTCAACCCTTAGCTGTAACAAGTAGAGGACTGGGGTTCTGTTCTAGAAAAATGGTCAGAATATTATTGAGACATAATGGGAGTAATAGGTGTGAAATGGTTATTTGCTACCTGGAAACTTGTGAGGGAGAGAAGATAGGTGAAAAGAGGGACCACATCTGCAGTGCTGTTGTCTCAACAAGTCCAGTCTGCACTGAGTGAGGACCCACACACCTTTGACACCTTTCTTGATGTCCTGAAGCCAGAAGTGGCCTCACTGCACTTGTGATTCTATTTTAATTTACACCTGACTTTCCTCTGTATCTCTTTCACTAAGATGGTACAGGTAGTCATTGCTATCAATCACTCTGAGCAAACACATTCTTTTAACAAGATCTTTCCCTCACTTTCCCTTGGAAGCTTTTTCTTTGCCCTCAAAATGCATTGTTTCCTACCAATCCTCTTCTCCATTCCCTTAACTTCAAGCAAACAAACCAGATCATGTCTCACTTACTAGGACACCACCACCTCTAGGGAAGAATAAGGCTCTCACGTTCCTCTCCTACTTCAATAACTCTATTTATAGGGTGAAGTTATTTTCCTACATCAATTTCTCATCTGTTATTTCTTTGCTGCTGTTCACTTCTTATTCCCATCATGGATCAGAATCTGTCCTATATCTGCTACAGACTTCTTAAGGTGCCCATGTATGGTTAAAGGGTCCTATTAACAACAGAGGTTGTTTGTATGACCTAATTAGATCTCCACAGAGACAGCCTTAATAGGCCCTTTTGGTTTCTTTGGATTGTCTGCAAAGTAATAGTGCAATGGCAGTGTTCATTTTGCTTGGCTGTATCAGGCCATATATCACATCCTTTTCCTTCCAGTTCTTCAAATAAGCTTGTCTCATTCTTATTTTGGTTTCAAATTATAGATTATAAATTTCACTTCTCTCCACTTTTCCTTATAATTTGACCCCCAGCTGTTGTAACTACTTGAAGTGATTCCCCCTGCCCACCATCCACCCCACAGCTTCATATGAAAGACAGCCCTGGCTTTAGGAACAAATGACGTCCCTCGGACCAGCTGTGCCTAATAAAAATCCAACCTCCAACTCTTGCTTCCCTTCCTCAAAAGGGCAAAATTGATTTCAAAGTGCTGATGATAAGATACATGGGAATACAAAACCCACCTCTGCCAACAGACCAAAGCTGTGCACTGTGACATCATCGTATCCAAAAGAAATGATGCTGTCAGTTCCTCCACTGCTCTATAACTACAAGTTATTGCACTTGTCCTAGAGACAGGATATTTGTTCATTTAATTTAGCCTTGTTTAGTCTGGCAAGAGTTATTTTCATTCCTGAAGTGCCATAGCAAATACTACAAAATACCAGTTGCCCTCTAGGGTCCATTAGAATCAGTTCATGTAGTGAAAAACACTCCCTAGTACTAGATGGCCACTTGAAGCAGTTTTCCAGCAACCCTGTGGAATGCCTAACCGGGAAAACAAGGTGTCTTTCAGCTGGCAGTGAGCCTGCAGCACCTGCTGTGCGCAGCCAGGGTTGGGAGGTGGCAGGAGCTGAGAGCACTCACTCTTCCTGCGTGTCCTGGCAGGCAGACCAAAGGCTGCCTACACACGGCTGTGACAGAACACAGCTCTAGTGGAGCACATTTCACTCCACTGCCTGGGCAGTGAACATTCAAAACATCTTCTGTTTCCCTGTCTCTTCCTCTCATCAGCCAAAGCAGGCTATTTCTGTAATACTTATGAGTATTAATAATGAGTATTACAGTATTAATAATGAGGCAAAAACAATTACTTGATTTCTTTCCCTGGTTCCTACTGAAGATTTATTCTGTTCAGCATTCCTAAACTTCTTTAAAATTATGTATCCTTCCTTCTCTTCACCCTCTTCTGTACTCTACTTTGATAGTTAGGGATATTTCCATAGACCTGTTTGATTGAGAACACTTTATGGAACTCTAATACATAATATTTTAATGAGATTTCTGGTATACCTGAGTATCATGCACTTTCAAGATACCACTCTCTGGTTTTTAGTTCCATTTCATCCTTCAGTTCCTAAATGAAACCAGCAGGTACAGAACACCTACAAATGATCTGAGAAAAACAGTCTGGAATCTTTTTCACAGTTTTCACAGTTGCTATGAAATAAGGAGATATAAATGTAAACTTAATGCTTTTGTTACTACTGTAGAGTGTGAAAATGTTCACAATCAAAAAGAAATAAATATATCAATGCTATATTCAAATTTTGAATCAAGGCTGCTCTTGCCCATTCCCACATTTTGTTAGAAACCTGGTTCTGAAGATATAACCCTTCTCTGCCACTGAAAATTGAACAACTTCAGTGACTTGGTGAGTCAAGGCTATTGACCACCTTCCAGAAAGTTCTGAAAAGCTTATAGAACTGAACTCTTAATTATACACTGGTATAAGCAATCTAGGCAAGGCAGCTGGGAAATCCCAGCTTTTTCACAGCTCCCATTGTTCATAGAGCAACTCCCCAAAATCCTGGAGAAAGAACATGAGATTAGTTTTGTCCTGAAATGGCTGCCTACAGAGTATTTTGTACAATGGATTTACCGCTGGCTGTAACAACAGGGCCTCTGTGAGCTCCACTGGTAGAGAGTTCAACTGTCTAGCAGGTCCTATCATTAAGAAATGTTTCTGGTGCTCAGCCAAAATGCAGTAATAGCCAATCAGAACTGCAGCCTTGCTTTACAATGGCTGATCAATGACAATAAGTTGATTAAATACAGAGTTCAGAGTGAAACACGGGAGAATAAACTTCAGAACAATGAGAACCCCAGGGAAAATATTTTGATTTTCAGGAAACTGCCTTAATTACCTTCTGTATTTTTGCTTCACTACAACAAACATGACAGTATAGAGTAAACACTGATCTCAATTCACAGAATATTCTGAGTTGGAAGTTACCTACAAGGATCACGGAGTCCAACTCTTAAATATATGTGGTCTGTACAAAGATTGAATCCAGAACCTTGGTATTATTAGCACCGTCCTCTAACCAAGAATGAATCTAATTTTATCAGGAATCATCCTGATTCTTGCTACTTGCCTCAGTTTCAGCCTTTAGTTTTATCTGAATGCTTAAATCTTGATAGTGCCAGTGTGGGCAAGGAGATGGGGAGAAGCCACTCAAACCCTCACAATGGGAGAAGAAACCAAGGCATTTTCAGTCTACTTTGTGGTGACAATTATATTTAATTTTTTTTTTTTAATTTGACTCAATGAGCCATGAGCGAATTTACTAGAATGCCGCAAAGCTGAGTTTGGAAAATAACTGTCACCCTCATCTCCTGCCTGAGGGTAGCCCACATTCTCCTTTTACAGGCTCCCAATGCTGTAAAGTAAAGCCCTGGCACAAGTTGCCTAGAGAAGCTGTGGCTGCCCCATCCTTGGAAATGTCCAAAGCAAAGTTGGACGGGGCTTGGAACAACATGGGATAGTAGAAGGCGTCCCTTCCAACCCAAACCATTCTGTGACTCTCTAATACCCGAGAGGATCTCTTCCCCAAACCGACTTGTGATGTCCCTGGCGCTGGAGCGTGCTCCTGGCAGGACACGGGTGATCAGCTACCCGCTGCAGCGGGACAGGGAGGGCAGAGCCATGGGGCCCGAGCCCTGGACGGACACGAGGCGTGGAAGTGATGCGACACTGCGGCTCGAGCGCGGGAAGCCGTGAGGGGCGGAGGGACACGAGGCGTGGAAGTGATGCGACACTGCGGCCCGAGCGCGGGAAGCCGTGAGGGGCGGAGGGACACGAGGCGTGGCGGTGATGCGACACTGCGGCCCGAGCGCGCGAAGCCGTGAGGCGCGGAGGGACACGAGGCGTGCCGGTGATGCGACACTGCGGCCCGAGCGCGCGAAGCCGTGAGGGGCGGAGGGACACGGGGCGTGGCGGTGATGCGACCCCTCAGGGAGCGCCCGCGGCGAGAGGAGGTTGAGTGCAAAGAAGGGACCTTAGGCAAAGTAAACGCGGCTTTAACAAGTTCACAGGGTAGTCAGGGTTAGAGGGGACCTCTGCAGATGACCCTGTCACACTCCCTTGCAAGGCAGGTTCCCCTGTTGCAGGTGACAAAGGAACATGGCCGAGTGGTTTTATATATTGTCTCCAGAGAGGTAGACTTCAGGTGTTCCAGTGCTCTGCCACCCTCCATGGAAAGAAGTTCTTCCTCATGCTGAGGTGGAACTTCTTGTCTTCTAGTTTATGGCGTTTCATATAGGTATTGTTTGTGAAATGCTACAAATGACTTTGAAACTCTTGTCTGTTTCAGTATCAACTCTCCATTTCATGTTAATTTCAATGACAAGCTGCCTGATAGTTTGGTTGTGACCTAGCCTGCATTTCCAATACTATGGTTGTTTCTGCTTATGGCTATGGGCAGCTTTCATCAAAACACTTGTTCATTCTTGCGTCATTCTTGTTCAGCAGATCCATACCTTTAGGGTCACATGATTGTCTCCTTAATTCCCCACTGTGTCTTCTGCGTCCTGGGATAAAATTGTTCTAGAGCCTTTGGTGGCTCATCTGGGCTCCACTCAGTAAGGCAGAACTGGCTTCTCCAGGAAACCTGAATATGCACAGTCACAAATATGTTCTGAGTACAGTTATTTAGTAATAACTTTGTTGTTGTTTAGTAAAAACCTCATTAGAGTTGTACAGTGATAGAACATGGCCCCAGGAGGCTCAACGTCTGTGAGAACTGGGCTAAAAATGAGTATTTCACAGGATGAACCTTTAAACAGAAGAGTAGTGATGAGAAGAAGATGGAGGGGTTGGGCAAGCCAGGTGTGACTGAACATATTTATTTATGGAGGAAGCATGATACTTGTATCCCATAACCTTTTTGAATCTTATTTGAAGTAACATAATCCCTTGTATCTTAATTACCTGTCATTTAAACTGTAAATGAGATTTGGGTGGGTTTTTATGTATTAACTACAAAATATTCGCTGCTGTAAATACCCTGATACAATTGTATCACTGAATCTTCTGAGTGGAGACGCAGCTTTAAAAGAACCATTTGTCTGCACAGTTTATAAGGATTTCCTCATGCCCAGGGCAAACCCTGGAAGCAAATTGACTTCGGTTGTTTGCTTTTGGGTTTTTGCCTTTTTTTTTAATTCATCCATATTAGGGTAACAGGGGTAACTCTCTATACCCAGTCAATACAAATATCCTTATGCAAGTTTTAAGACTAGGCCAGGTTTCAGTTTTCCATTCTAAGCTATCACTACCTGTGCTAGCTATGAAATTACTTAAATACATTTTTCTGTAAAGCTGAATGGATATATTTTAATGGAAATGGGAATTTTGGACTGACTTGTATGACAGTGCAATTTCTAATCTCAAGCTGCAGTGTGAAATTAAATTATAAAAATAATTTTAAAAAAAATATAGGAAAACCCATTTAAAGCTGAAACCCCAGCATTTCTTGTGATTTCCCAAGCAATTGTGAATTCATCATCAGCTACCTGTGAGTTAAAAGATTGTTAGAAAACTGAAATTCTGCATGGAAATTGTTACAGTTCTCTCTTTTGCTTTGGCATTTGGAAAATGTTTCTCCAAGTTTGAATTTAGCCTCTCCAGATATGTCAGTTGAAATTTGTTTGAATTCTGATTCAGCCTTAATTGCAATCTGTGTAAGTTGCTTTATAACAAGGTTTAAAAAGATAGTGTCAATGGGCCCAAACATCTGCTGTGCTATAGGTAATACTCTGACTTTATTCTTAGGGTGGGAGAATCAGGTAAATAAGTACTTCAGTAATGTATATTCTATGAACAAAGCTAAGAACAGCCCTTGTTTGAGTTGTGGCTGTTCCTACTGGGTGTCATTCCCAACAAAATAGTAATGGGAATGGTTGATGAGGCTTGAATGTCATCTGTGAACGAAGGACACCCCATCTGTCAATGGAAAAGTGCTGGTGTTTGTAGCTTAGCCTGTAAATTTAGCCTATAGCTGAGCATGGTGATTGTGTCCTGGTGATCTCTGCTGGAAGAGCTTGGTGCCAACATGAGCTGGAGCCACATGGTTCCTGCTGTGAGCCGTGTGCTGTCAGCTTGTTCTGAGGCAGAGCTTTATCCCTGTCTTGCTCCGTATCTCCTGCCCCAAGTGCCTCGGAGTAGAATAGGCCCTGTGTGCTCCTGAGCAGGCACCGAGGCAGCCACAGTGCCCTACAGAGTCTCACATGTTCTACTGATTATCCAGCACACTTAAACTTTGAGTTATAAGGGTGACCCCAGCCAGTTGGCTGAAAAAATATATTTGACATCATTGAAAATGTATGCTGCTGCTGAAGCATGGATTTTAATTTGAGGAAAATGTCGACCGTAATCTAGCATACATTAAAAAATATACCTTTTTATTTCCATATGGGTCACGTTAAGGAAAATATTAAAAAAAAAAAAAAAAAAGCCAACCCTATTATATGAAGTCTCATTAAAGCAGCCTGGAAAAGTTTAGCCAATTTACAGGCTATACATCTTAATCTCCCCAAATTACAGGACCGATAGAAAAACGGGTGGTTGAGAGGGAAAGCGGGACCAGCAGAACCTGGATGGGGGCCAAACAATGGATCAAGTAGCTCTTGCTTTCACTTGACTGCTACCCCTTGCTATTTAAAGAAAAGAAAGGATTTTCAAAGAGAGGCCTGGAAATGGCAAAGCATGGAACGTACTTCCTTCTCCAGGTGAAAACTAAAACCCAAAGCTTGGTTATTTTAACATGGTGTCTTGGCTCAGCTCTCTAGTGCCTGCCCAGAGATTTTTGTGAACTCTTGAGAGAAAATAAAGTATCTGCAATTCTTCTGTAGTTTTTAGCAGGCAGGTGGTTTAAGGACTGATTGTACAATCTTGGATAGTGTTTGTGGAGAAGCCAGAGGTGGAATGGGTATAGGGTTGCTAAAGGATGCAGGGGAAAAAGGCAGGCAGCCGTAAGGTGTGAAATGGCAGAGGTCATTGTCACCACTAAATTCAATGCTGTATGTGTGGAAACCTATACACCTACTGCTTTTGCTGCTGTTGCACTGTATCACAGTGGGTCACTACCAATGGCAAAGTGGGTTTGTGAGGCGAGCATGGAGAAGTTTGGGATAAAGATTAACACTTCTTACATTGATCTAAGAGACCAGACACTGTAGAAAGAATTGAGAGGAGGTGAAGTGGCCTGATGTGAGTTAGCAGATATGTCAAGAGCCAGCAAAGAGAACCAGCCTTATAAGCAGAAAGAAGAGGAAAGAAGCTACAAGATCGTGAGTGTTTGCTCTTAGCTAAGGAGCTAAGAGGCTTGGCCTAAAGCATCTAGAAGAGAGTAGGGTATGGCAGGTACTAGGTTGGTCTAAGAGATGTGTCTGTATTGTTTTTCCATGAATAAGAACTTGCACTGCAGCTCAGAGCAGAACTGTGTGGCAGAAATCAGTGGTGTTTTCCTCCTGCAGGTGTGATTGTGGCTGACCAGGCTCATCTCCTGTTTCTGTGGTACCAGGAAAGCAGATTGGGGCAAGCTAACTGGCTACCTGTGCAGATGGAGCTGCTCACTGCTTGCCTCCCTGTGTCTGTGCCCCTATTAACCTGCTGTGCATTTATGTATTTATTAGACAAATTATGGGTGACTGACAAAGCAGTTCTATACATTTTTGAGAGGACTTTATCTCCCTCAGCCATCTATTTTATGCTTTTATATCAGGGGAAGTTGATGGAGGTATGTATTTTTCTGTACTCTGGTAGCCAGTGTTTCACTATGGTATTCCATGAACTGGATCTTGAAATTTCCTGTTCCTGCCTTCCTATTCCTCAAGCCCTCTGGCCAGGGATTGCCCCATTACCAACGTAACAACCAAAGGGAGGGGTTATGCTTTTTGTGTGGCCAGCTCTGGCTTGTTTGAGGAGTTTCCTGTGACTTGTTTGCTCCAGGAAACAGCACTTGGCAAATGGGCTGCTCAGCCTGCTTTCTTGTGGATATGAGAATGGTTTTTCATGTGTTTGCCATGCCCTACCTATTTCTTCTTTAGCACTGTTTCTTTCATAGCACTCGGAAACACTGCCCGCAGGGGCTGAGGCATTCTCTGCGCCTTCCATGTGAAATGGGTGCATGTGGGAATGTGAGTATGGGCGTGTCTTGGAGGCAAGTTTATTAATACCACTAGAGATAATGGCCTTGGCAATATTTCGAAGCATCCTGCTCCATTAAATTATAGACTTTGTGGAGACAAAGAGATTAGGGAGAGCAAGGAAGATTATTTCACAAAGTAAAATACTATTGTGACTTGCTAGTCTTAAAAACTTTGCAGAATTCAGTGGGAAAAATTAGAGGCCTTAAATATGCTGAAGTACCTACACTTGATGACTGACTCACTCCACCATCCGAATTAGTGTCCAAGAATGTACAAAGAAATACATGTTTGTACACTGATATTGTTAAAAATATTTGTCATTGATCAGTGGTGCATTTTGAAAAAAAACCCCAATCCTTGGCTTTGTTGACGTCTGCTAGGATAAGTAATAGTGCATATTTTCTCCTGATTAATTTAATTTTTTCCATCCCTGTTTTTATTCATGTTTTGTCTGCAAACAGACCATAGAACATCTCAACTATTCAGCATTTATTAATTCCTTTCATCATCTTAAATGCAAATACTTCAAGATGAAGCCAGGATTTCTTATATGTTCCTACCATGCTTAATAGAGCAGTGTCTCAGTCTGGACTGAATTTGGTTGTCTGGGAAATGCTTTTCCTGTGTATAGTAATTTATTTTCAAAAAAGGGTTTTTTTGGTTTTTTTCTACCTGTTTCTTATGTACTC